CCACTTTCTACAAGCCATTACCCTCTGATCCCACTGAGAGTTACCAAAAGAAACTACAGCATTTGCTCAAGAAACTCCCTGAAAAAGCACAAGATCAAATCCGCACAGACACACCCCTGTAACCCCAACCTGGTATATGCTATCTACTACCCAAGATCCATAAACCTGGAAATCCTGGGCGCCCCATCATCTCAGGTATTGGCACCCTGACAGCAGGATTGTCTGGCTATGTAGACTCCCTCCTCAGGCCCTACGCTACCAGCACTCCCAGCTACTTTCGAGACACCACTGACTTCTTGAGGAAACTACAATCCATTGGTGATCTTCCTGATGACACCATCCTGGCCACTATGGATGTAGAAGCCCTCTACACCAACATTCCACACAAAGATGGACTACAAGCCGTCAAGAACACTATCCCCAATAATGTCACGGCAAACCTGGTGGCTGAACTTTGTGACTTTGTCCTCACCCATAACTGTCTCACATTTGGGGACAATGTATACCTTCAAATCAGCGGCACTGCTATGGGTACCCGCATGGCCCCGCAGTATGCCAACATTTTTATGGCTGACTTAGAACAACGCTTCCTCAGCTCTCGTCCCCTAACGCCCGTACTCTACTTGCGCTATATTGATGACATCTTCATCATCTGGACCCATGGAAAAGAAGCCCTTGAGGAATTCCACCATGATTTCAACAATTTCCAACCCACCATCAACCTCAGCCTGGACCAGTCCACACAAGAGATCTGCTTCCTGGACACTACAGTGCTAATAAGATATGGTCACATAAACACCACCCTATACCGGAAACCTACTGACCGCTATTCCTATCTACATGCCTCCAGCTTTCACCCTGACCACACCACACGATCCATTGTCTACAGCCAAGCTATATGATACAACCGCATTTGCTCCAACCCCTCAGACAGAGACAAACACCTACAAGATCTCTATCAAGCATTCTTACAACTACAATACCCACCTGCGGAAGTGAAGAAACAGATTGATAGAGCCAGAAGAGTTCCCAGAAGTCACCTACTACAGGACAGGCCCAACAAAGAAAATAACAGAACGCCACTAGCCGTCACCTTCAGCCCCCAACTAAAACCCCTCCAACGCATTATCAAGGATCTACAACCTATCCTGAAGGATGACCCAACACTCTCACAAATCTTGGGAGACAGGCCAGTCCTTGCCTGCAGACAGCCCCCCTCAACCTGAAGCGAATACTCACCAGCAACCACATACCACACAACAGAACCACTAACCCAGGAACCTATCCTTACAACAAAGCCCGTTGCCAACTGTGCCCACATATCTATTCAGGGGACACCATCACAGGGCCTAATAACAACAGCCACACTATCAGAGGCTCGTTCACCTGCACATCCACCAATGTGATATATGCCATCATGTGCCAGCAATGCCCCTCTGCCATGTACATTGGTCAAACTGGACAGTCTCTACGTAAAAGAATAAATGGACACAAATCAGATGTCAAGAATTATAACATTCATAAACCAGTCGGAGAACACTTCAATCTCTCTGGTCACGCGATTACAGACATGAAAGTTGCGATATTACAACAGAAAAACTTCAAATCCAGACTCCAGCGAGAGACTGCTGAATTGGAATTCATTTGCAAATTGGATACAATTAACCTAGGCTTGAATAGAGACTGGGAATGGCAAAGTCATTATGCAAGGTAACCTATTTCCCCTTGTTTTCCTTATCCCCTCTCCCCCTCAGATGTTCTTGTTAAACCCTGGATTTGTGCTGGAAATGGCCCACCTTAATTATCATACACATTGTAAGGAGAGTGATCACTTTAGATAAGCTATTATCAACAGGAGAGTGGGTGTTTTGGGGGAGGGTATGGGGGGGGGGGGGAGAAAACCTGATTTGTCCTGGAAATGGCCCACCTTGATTATCATACACAATGTAAGGAGAGTTATCACTTTACTTAAGCTCAGGTTTCAGAGGAACAGCCGTGTTAGTCTGTATTCACAAAAAGAAAAGGAGTACTTGTGGCACCTTAGAGACTAACCAATTTATTTGAGCATGAGCTTTCGTGAGCTACAGCTCACTTCATCAGATGTTTACCGTGGAAACTGCAGCAGACTTTATATACACACAGAGAATATGAAACAATACCTCCTCCCACCCCACTGTTCTCTGTGTGTATATAAAGTCTGCTGCAGTTTCCACGGTAAACATCTGATGAAGTGAGCTGTAGCTCACGAAAGCTCATGCTCAAATAAATTGGTTAGTCTCTAAGGTGCCACAAGTACTCCTTTTCTTTTTACTTAAGCTATTACCAGCAAGAGAGTGGGGTGGGGGGAGAGAAAACCTTTTGTAGTGATAAACACCATTTTTTCATGATTTGTGTGTATAAAAACAAACATCTTCTGTATTTTCCACAGTATGCATCCGATGAAGTGAGCTGTAGCTCACGAAAGCTTATGCTCAAATAAATTGGTTAGTCTCTAAGGAGCCACAAGTACTGCTTTTTGCGAATACAGACTAACACGGCTGTTACTCTGAAACCTAGTGGGGAACGTAGCTTCTCAAAGTTAAAATTGATAAAAACATATCTGCGTTCAACAATGGTGCAGGAGAGACTTGTTGGACTTGCCAAAATGTCAATAGAGCATGAAATAGCTGGAAAACTGGATCTAAAAGAACCAGCTAGTGAATGAATTTTCAAAGCTTAAAGCAAGAAAAGTGATGTTTTAAGAGCACAGAGTGTTTTTTATTTGGAGTGTTTTGTAAATACAGGTTAAAATTCATTGAAGAGTTTTCTTATTTCTTTCTGTATTGGATGTGGTGGTAATGGCAGTTAAAGCAGGATAGCGTAATGGATGATTTTGGATTTGTAATAATAAAAATTATAATTAACATTTTAAATGCATTTTTATTTGAAATCGGACTGAAATATCATCTTGCTGTCATGTACAAATCTGATTTGAAAATTTCATGTCTCTATTTTATCTGATCTCAGAAACATTGGTTGGACGGATGGACAAACCAAATAACTAAGCCTCTGTTTAAAAAAAAACAAAAAACACTTAAAAACAATAAAAGGAAAAAAGGTTTCCCAATTTACCGAAAACCTCAGCCTAGATCTGCCCTTGGAGTTTGGAGGTGGGGGGGAGGGGGGAGTGCGATAGCATGGTTCACCTAGAGCGCCAGTTGCTGGCAGCTAGTCTAGGGCCACCCCTGGCAGGGGGCGGGGCTGTGACCCACCTCAGCCTTTCACCACCACTGGGAAGAGACTGGCGCCACTAGCAGGGGCTTCACTTCACTGCAGGAGAGCTGATCACCTCACCACAAAGTGCAGCCCCTCCTACCATCACTCCACATCTTCATCCACGTTAAAAAATGGGGGGGCATGGTCCCTCTTCCCCCTCCAGTTCTAGTGCCCCTGATTGTGTGGAGCCCAAATGTTCTTTGTGCTCAGGGCCCGAAAACATCTTAATCCACCTCCGCATATAACAAATCATGTTGTAGGGATGGGGAGCCAGACATAGGAGAGACTAGACTTGAGGAAAGACACATTTTTAATGGAATTTGTAAAAAGCCCTTTGACAATGTCTAGGTACCTGGGAGGAGTGTGGAGAATAGGGGGCAAATAAATTAATAGATTTTAAGACCAGAAGGGTCCCTTGTGATCATTTCCTATAACCGCCTGGATAATATAGGCCATAGGACTTCCCTGAATTAATTCCTGCTTCATGTCCAATAGCTGTGGTTGAATTACAGCATGTCTTTTAGAAAAGCATCCAATCTTGATTTTAAAATTGCCAGTGATGGACAATCCAGTACAACCCTTAATGAATTGTTCAGATGGTTAATTGCCCTGCCTGTTAAAAATGTGCATCTTATTTCTTGTCTGAATTTGTCTATCTTCAATTTCTAGACATTGAAACTTGTTATAACTTTGTCCGCTAGATTGATAAATTTCTGTTTGCACTTAGGTGCTTGTAGACTGTGATCAAATCACCCCTCAACTTTCCCTTTGATAAGATAAATAGATTAAGCTCCTGGAGTTTCTAATTACAAGGTGTGTTCCGATCTAATAATCATTCTAATGGCTCTTCTCTGAATCACTCCAATTTTTCAATATCCTTTTTCAAGAGTTTACACCAGACCTGGACACAGTTTTTTAGTAGTTGGGGGCATCAGTGCCAAATAGAGAAGTAATATAACTTCCCTACCCCTCCTCTATATTTCCTTGTTCAGACATCACATAGACCTTTTGGCCCCAGCATCACACTGGGAGTTCAGGTTCAGCTTATTATTCAGTGTGACCCCCAAGTCTTTTTCAGAGTCACTGCTTCCCAGGATGAACAAGTGTCGGACTCTTTTTCAGCCTCTTATAATTTCATAGTGTTTAAGTCCAGAAAGGACAATTAGATCATCTATTCTGATCTCATGTATATCAAAGGTCATAATTTTTCAACCAGCTATCCCTATATTAAGAACAGAAACATTAGTTAAACTAAAGTATTTCAGTCCTCAGGAAAGGTAAACTGTGTGCCACATGGATAGAATGGGACAGACCAAAGTGTCCCCAATGTACAAGACCCCTGCAATGGCAGGAAATTGATTAGGTGAGATATACCCAAGTGATCCCAGCAGATGAACGTATTAAGTAAAATGACTTAAAAAAACCCTAGCCCCCCTCCCCACACATTTCACCCAATTCTCAGGAATCTCTGGATCCTATATCTGGGCATTTTCCGTTCCTCTCTGGCTTAAGGAAATGAGGTGATGGGTTGTTTTAGGAAAAAATACAGTTTCTCCTTTGATGAAAGGACAAGGTTTCCTTTCCCTTAGATATCATCATATTGTGATCTTCCTTAATTTATTATCATTAATTACATTGCTGTAGCACCCAAAATATTCTCGGCACTGCATAAACAGGTAGGAAGACACAGTCCTCACCCCAGAGATTACACAGTACACCTTATTAATTCTTTTGTGTATATATACCTTGATCATATACTTCTCCAACCACAGGTTTCAGATTATGTTCCTTTCCAGCTTGATAAATGGTGCCACCATCCAATGTCACTGCATCTGCCAAATTGTTCTGTGTAAAAACAAAGTCAGAATTTATATTTCATCACAGTTATTAACATCCCTTCACCAGCTGAGGGCAGAGCCTTCATAAATTCAATAAACCCTTTATGTACATAGTAGATATTAATCTCTAGCTGCCAGGGTTCTCTCTCATAGTCTTCTATGGCAATCAGATTATTAATATACTGACAGAGAATATGTGTCACCAAAAATTTGTATAGTCAGATTTGGGTCTTTAATTTAAAAACAGTGGTGAGGCGATTCCTACTGCTGCTGAATAGCACAGGACTGTGGTGACCCCCATGGTTTGTGTACTCCTCATTTTCAGAAAGGTCCCTGCATTTTGCCAGTGTGCCTCCCACCCCTAAGTATCTGTGAGTGAGTTTGTGGCCCCACCATTTTTGATCAGTTGGGCCCACTTTTAGCTTTCCATTCACCTCTAGGTAATCCTCTCAAACTGGAAGGTAGGGATAAGGATAAGGGACCATATTTTTAAGTTAACGAGCTGAGCACTTTTGTGGCAACATTTTGTAGGGATCAAAAATACTGATACCAAAGACAACTGTGCTTTATTTAAAAAAAAAAAAAAAAAAGTATGCTGGTATAAAATGTAAAAAAAAAAAACAAAAAAAAACGTCAGCAGAGACCTGGGTATAGTTCTTGGAGAGGAGGGTTTTTCCCCTCGTAACTTTGTATCTGAATGAGTTCACCGTGAAACTTGGAACAAGTGCCATTCATATTCACTTCAAAGAAAACAACAGCTCAGAGTGTCTGCACTCATTTAATTTTTCTCTTCACTCCAAACACTGTTTATCATACTGAACATTCGTTCCATTAGACTGTTTGTTCCTAATAAACAACAAATTTTACTTAGTATAGAAATACTCTTGAACAAATACTTTGGAGTTTGACTAATGAAATAAAAAACTGAGACGTTGTATCTGCCCTAAAGATGATCTTGGACCATTAGGACTTCATATGAAAAACCGGCACTGCCTAGAAAAATACCAGGACATATGCTTCCTTTAGAGAGGGAGGTTTTCTGCTATGGGTTTGGGGTAGGGTTGCCAACTTAATGACTGAACAAAACCGAACACCCTTGCCCCATCCTGCTCCCTCCCTCCCTTGCTGTCTCCCACCCTCACTCACTCACACATTTTCACCGGGCTGGAGAGGGTCCCTTTTTGACTGGGTGTTCGGTTGAAAATTGGACACCTGGAAACCCTAGTCTGGGGCTAAGCACCAATGGATAGACTAATCACTGTGTACGTCAAGGAAATTATGTTACCAATCAGCTAAGAATATACATTCTCTGTCTGATAACAGTTATAGGGCCAATGTCCTCAGTGATTAGTCTATTTTATATCTCAAGCAAGTTTGGTTAATGCCTATAGTACTTGTGACCTAAGATGAAGTAAAAGAGGAAGTAGGAGGAGCAAGAGGTTCTGTTATGGCAGATTGTGTTTGGCCTGATGGTGGAGCAGAGACACCTTAAATTTTATCAGTGCCCTATATGCAGTCGTTTCAAGAGCCCTGATTTCTGGGGCTCAACCCACAACTTGCACTTGTTGCTACATTTTTATTCACTCTACAGTTTGGCCATTATCAGCTGAGATGTTTATGTATATGCTGTACCCCCAGGAAGCTCATCCAAGGATATTTTTATTTGCTGTATTCTGAAACTTTTTATCAGCCCTAATTTCTTTTCTGACCCAGATTATATCCACATAATAAATGCTGGTTGCAGTACTGCCTTATGTATTGTTGATGTCAGTGATACTTTTGTGGGAGACATCTAGGGAAAAACATCCATGGAAGTATTTCACATCGGAGTTTTGATAAATATATTAGCAGGGCACTACTTTATCATGTTTACTGTTTTCAGAGAAACCCTGTCTGTCTGTCACACGGTATTTGTAAAGTTCCCATCACAGTATCTATCTGCCCACTTTCAATGCTGATTCTGTTTTAGTTGGATATTAGTTAGGAACAAAAGGATGGAGCATTTAGCAAATGCTTTTGAAATAGCTTAGGCTATTGATGGAAATTATGTTGTACTTTACCCTTAGTATGAAGCATGTTGGTGGAACTAAGTCCAGGTAACGTGGCACTATAAAACAGCAGACCTCTATCCACAACCCTTACCTACAACACTAGCCCTTCCCTCCCCTCCTCAGAGAGCAGAGTTCAGTATATCTGCAGGCTCAGAGATCACATGCAGTCCTATATGTAGCACAGCAATGAGCAAATGTTTAGTAGATCATTAGCACAGGGAAAAAAAAGAAAGAAAAAAAAAAACCAGCCTCAAGGACAGAGCTGCGCCTGAGGCATAACTGTGCTAAGTTTCCTTGTATCAAAAAGCTATCTATTTGTGTCAACTCTCTGCAGGATTCTGAGTTGATCCAGTAAGCAGGAGGGAAACTTCTGAGTTGATCCAGTAAACAGGAGGTTTAGTTGTGCTCTGAGCATGTTTACCAGATTGTGAATCATGCCAGGGTTTAGGCACGGATTAGGTGCTAAACTGCCTGGCAATGCAGGATTTAGGCAGCTCAGCTTCCAAACTTTAGGTAACTAGCTAATTTAGTCACCTACAGGGTCTGCAGGAGAATGGTACTCGAGGGGAACCAGCATGGGGGCTGAGTGCTCTATACTGGAGAGGGGGAAAGACTTAAAGGCAGCCCAGACAGATGATGAGAACAGGGCCCAGAAGGCAGACTGAAGAAAAGCCCATGAAACGTGGAAGACCTTTTTGTTTGTTGAGACTTTTTTAGTTGGTTTGTGACGTGGCTGGAGGGCCAACCCCCATCTCCAGCACTGGCCCATACTTGTGGAGTTTATTAAGGAGTCCAGAGAAGTTGAGGCACGGTGCTGCAGAGCCACCTCTGGCCCCAAAGGGGTGCTTGGGAGATGGCTGACCCTGTCACATGGCAGTTAGATGCCTAAATCTCCCTTGTGAATACCACCCCAAGAGAATTAGATCTGCTGAGCTTAATTTGTGGAAACTTCACATCTCAGTGTATGAACCTGGGGTAGTCTGCTTCCTAAATCTTTTCTCTATCAGATACCACAATGTCACAGCTCTGCGATTACTCTGGTTTATTGTTGCTCCAGATAAGTGGAAATAACGAATGCCATGAAGAGGGTATCTACATACCAACCCAGAACCTGATACGCTCAATCTCATATCATGATCCTTCTCAGCTCGGTTGTTGTAGCCTTTGTGTTGGAAGTGCAAAGGAATTGCTAGACCACTGCAGTTTGTGTTTATCCATCTGCAACAAAATCTCTTAGAAATTGCATGACAGAATTTTTTTCCCTGGGCATGTGCTGATCGGGATCCACTTGGGTTATTACATTCAGCACATGAGTTAGATCTTGCATTCTTTTCCCCTTGCATCACAGAAGCAGCTGCATTTTATTGCTGGGTAAAGTGTCTTCTATTTTTATAAGATCAAATCCCAAGGTTCTTCTTTCAATTTTAGTCAGCCCCAGGAATTTGAGTATGGTTTTAGTAAAATTTGAGTAGGCTTCAAGATTTAGCTCAGGATTAATATTTTGCATTTATTTAGCAGCTTGCATATCAGGATATCAAAAAAAATTATAAGCATGTATTAATTAAGCCTCACTATGTGGTAAGGAAGTATAATTATCCCTCTTCTGCAGATGGGGCACAGAAATGACCTGCTCCCTCCCAAGGACACAAATAATGTATGTGAATGAAGTATTATCTGTTCCACTGAGGCTGAGCAATATGACCAAGCCCTCTGGACTAACCCCCATTAATGCTGCCTACCAAGCCTTTTTGCTGTTTGTGCATATACATGTACTGTAGGGTATTAATAACACTTAGCTCTACTCTAGCACTTTCTCTGTTCCTAGTGCTTTACGCATATTTATTAATTGACCGAGAGAAGCAAGGCACGACACTCAACTTGATGGCATTTCTCTGTCTGATAACTTCTGAACACCAAAGCTAATCAATGCCAAAATTTCAGGGAATGTTCTAGGCATCAAAAGGCAGACATCTATTGATTTTTGTTGAAAATCTGAAAACTCAAAGATAGACAGAGACAAGCTCAGCTCCCCACACAGCAACAGCAGCTCCTCCTCACTCAGGGTACTACATGGCACCCTGGACACTTCCACCTCTGCGCAGGAAGGAATCAGGCCAACCCTGTGGAGAAATATACTTCATTGCTTATGACAGGTTTCAGAGTAACAGCCGTGTTAGTCTGTATTCGCAAAAAGAAAAGGAGTACTTGTGGCACCTTAGAGACTAACCAATTTATTTGAGCATAAGCTTTCGTGAGCTACAGCTCACTTCATCGGATGCATACTACATGCCTCCAGCTTTCATACCACAGGATTGTGTGGTGTGGTTGGGGTGAAAGCTGGAGGCATGTAGTATGCATCCGATGAAGTGAGCTGTAGCTCACGAAAGCTTATGCTCAAATAAATTGGTTAGTCTCTAAGGTGCCACAAGTACTCCTTTTCATTGCTTATGTAAGCTGAGCTGTAGATCCCTGCTTCATCTTTACACACACCCATGGCTCCAGGTTTCTGCTTCCCCCTCCCTGACCCCCATTCCATTCCAGGTCCCTGCTTCCCCACTCCACACAACTTCCCTTCCCTCTGGGTCCCTTCTTCTTCTTCACTTCCATTCCCCCACTTTCCAGATCCCTGCTTCCCAAATCAGTCACCCCACCCCAACCCTTCCCCCCCCTCACCTTCCGGGTCTCTGATTTCTCTTCCCTACTCTGCTGTCCCTACCCCCACTTTCCTCCCCAAATCCTCCCTCTAATGCTTTCAGTTGGGGATGGGTGGAACCAGGGACCCAAACAGGGGTGGGCGTACAGTATGGAGAGGAAAGCAAGGGCCCAAAAGGAAAGGGAAGCAGGGACCTGGAATTGGGGGGAATTCAGCTTAGCCTATAAAAGCAATGAAGTGTGTGACCCTCTAGAAAAAAGGACACATACACACACAGAACCCGTGGCATAGAGGGAAAATGGGGGGCACACAGAGTTCCTGGCATGGGGGGGGGGGGGCTGGAGGAATGAGACGAGAGAGGTTGCAGGAAGTCCCTGAAATGGAGCGGGGTGGGAAGGTGGCACACACAGAGCTTTGGGGGGAGAATGGAGGGATACAAGAAGCTCATGTTGTGCACAATGAGCTCTGCTGACAGAAGCAACAAAGATTACAACCCTCTAGTTAAATTTCACAGCAACCTTATGTGGTAAGTAGTTAGAATTATCCCTGTTTTACAGATAAGGATGCTGAGGCAGAGAGGTTAAGTGACATGTCTGTAGCCACAGAGGCAGTCTATGCCAGAATTAAAGATTTCCTAATTTCCAATACTGTGGTTCTAAGCTCTTGCCCCTTCACTACCCCTCCACAACTACCTTCCAAGGAGGGTGTTATACAATTGCCTGAATTAGAGGATCTTTCTTTTAAAGGGAAGATTTAAGGTTCTTGTTCATATCCCCAGTGACTGGGTCACAAAATTTCTGTCTGAACAGAAAAGACAGGACCATCTTTTGTTTTAAACCTCAGTCTTATCTACTGAATGCAAAAATAAACAAACAAACAAACAAACAAACAAACTCCCAAGGCAGGGGATCTTTAAAAGTATAAACACCTGTACAAGAATACTCTTCTGCCTGATTTTATCAGAAACTCGATGTAGAACAGTCAACTTTAGTGACTGGAACAACTGTTTTCGCTCTGTTGCTTATCTTCCAGTAAAGAAAGACCAGGTGGGTGAGGTAATAGCTTTTAGTGGACCAACTTCTGTTGATGAAAGAGACAAGCTTTCAAGCTACACAGAGCTCTTCTTTAGGTCTGGGAAAGGTACCCTAAGTGTCACAGCTAAATGCAAGATGTGACAAAGTAGGAATGTTCTTAATGTTTTCTCTGAATACTGTGTGGGTGCCTCAGGTGGTGGGATAAGCTGTGTGATTGTTGTAGAGCCCTAGAGGGCCAGTGTGATGCTGTCCGCACAGAGAATGGTCGACACCTGGTCTCCTGGCAACTGGTGGCCTGGGCCCCTCCTCTGCAAAGGTGCCAACTGAAGGTGTTAGAGAACAAAGAGATCAGGTGACCTCCTGGCCTGGGAAAGAGACAAAGGCCAGAGGAGGGGTGGGGGAGTTTCAGTTTGGAGCTGGCTGGGGAAATGGAGGGAGGCCCAGATGGGGCTCTGGCCTCCCTACCCCCACAAGACCGACCTGACTGAGTGGTCCTGTTCTCTGTACCTACAAGCTCTGTTTTAGACCGTGTTCCTGTCGTCTAATAAACCTTCTGTTTTACTGGCTGGCTGAGAGTCACGTCTGACTGCGGAATTGGGGCGCAGGGCCCTCTGGCTTCCCCAGGAGCCCCGCCTGTGCGGACTCACTGTGGGAAGCACACGGTGTGAAAAGGGGATGCTGAATACTCCAAGGTCAAACCCAGGAAGTTCAAAGCTGTGTAAGCTTCTTGCCCTGGAGACAGTCTGGCCACAGAGAGGAGGCTCCCCCAGAGTCCTGACTGGCTTCGTATGGAGTAGTTCCAGAGCATCGCCCAGAGACTCCGTGACACAAGGTCGAACAGATCATGTAGCATAAGTACTTAGTACATATTCTAAGTGACCATGCAAGGTGAAGTGGCCTTATAAGGCATAGCAAGAAGCTATATCGACACTAATGTAATGACTTCAAACTCACCTTGATCATATGGATGCAGTTAATGGCTGAGCCGCCATTAACACACAATACGTTGGGAAAGATGTTGGCATCAGTGAAGGCTGCACTCATGTCATTACACTTGGTCTGTTCTTGTTCAGAGACAGTGCACCACCTCATATGCTGCAGGCTCAGAGCTGAAACAAAGCACCAAGGGAAAACTCTGTTAACAAACAATGCCTTTATAACTGCGCTCCCTGCATACTGATTACAGAAGAGCCAGACCACAGAAATTCATGGCCTGTTCAAAGCTATGGCCTTAGGGCCCACTCCTGTTTTCATTCAAATCAATGAGAGTTTTGCCATTGACGTAAATGGGAGCAGGATTGGGTCCATCTTTCATATTGTCACATGCTGATATAGGCGCTGCATGCACGACAAAGCAAATAAGTGCATACAAAGAACCCACACCACCTATGAAAATGATACAACCTTGATTCCTCTGTATTTTATTTATTCAATCTCCACAGTTCCCTTAGTTGTGGGGCAAAAAGTTGAGCTTTGATGTAGCTAGCACTGTCCTACTCTGAGTACCTTCTAGGATTTGTTAACCTGAAATTGCTAGAGATATTGTAAATTATCAGCAGTAAAATCCAGTCACTTAAGACATGGTGTCTTGGGTTTATCTAACTTTTTATTATCATGAAGAAAAGAAATATCTATTTAAACTACATACATAGCAAGAGTAGTAATATTTAGAGTGAAGCATTTGACCTGAGAGCTGTTGAATTCATCTGTCTGTAGAATCACTATGAATATGGGGCATACTCAGAAGGTTTTATCCGCAACCTTAAGAGCTGGAATAATTGTTTAAAATTACACTGTGCAGCAAATGGCTCCTATAGAGAAGTCCCAATCTAGCATAGCACTATGTACTGGCTTGGGTCAAGCCCAGTTCCTTTAGCAGCTTAAACAAGCAAACAAACAAACAAACAATCCCTGATGCTCAGAGACCATGGCATAAGAATTGGAAGAGAGTAGAAGAGAAAAGTTGCCGACATGATACTGGACCGAAAGAGGTCCTCCCCCCAGTCACTCAATGAGATATACAAATAAATACATGGGAACAGGTCAGACATGGTAGATTTCAGTTACCAACGAAGGAAACTGATCTGGCTATCTAAACTGTACCTGCTAGCTAAACTGTAACACTTGTTTGGGTAAACAGATATTTGCATATGTAACTTGGGTAACTGTACATACAAATGAGCATATCAACTAATCAGTAGCTACAACCAGGTTTTGTACATGTAGCTGGCCTATGTGCCTTATTCACAAATGAAAATTCAATACACACTTTTACAATTTTGACTTTTTATGGACCCGGGTCAGGATTTGCTCTTATTCGCTTGCTACTTGAGGCTTCCTCCCTTTTAGCCTCTCTCCAAACCTAATATAGCTTGTACTCATCCACAGTGGCTGTACGGTTTATAGTCTGTATCAGACTTTGCTGCCTTTGTTGAGACTATTCCACCAGCACTCAACAGGCCAGGGCTATGACAAATTTTCCAGTTTGAAAAACTCTGGGTGCTGCAAATCTAACGACCTCACTAATCCTATAAACTTTGCTTTGCACTGCACCAGTTACTAAGACAGAGAGCCTGATGTTACTTACACCACTGTAACTCAGGAATAACTCTAGTGATGTCAGTAGTCTAAAACCAGTGATGACAGTGATTTTACTAAAAAGAAAAGGAGTACTTGTGGCACCTTAGAGACTAACCAATTTATTTGAGCATAAGCTTTCGTGAGCTACAGCTCACTTCATCGGATGCATAAACTGGAAAATACAGTGAGGACGTTTTTATACACACAGACCATGAGGAAAAAAAAAAGTGAGGATGTTATTATATACACAGACCATGAAAAAATGGGTGTTTATCACTACAAAAGGTTTTCTCTCCCCCCAACCCACTTTCCTGCTGGTACTAGCTTATCTAAAGTGATCACTCTCCTTACAATGTGTATGATAATCAAGGTGGGCCATTTCCAGCACAAATCCAGGGTTTAAAAAGAACATCTGAGGAACGGGGGGAGGGAGGAATAAACAAGGGGAAATAGGTTACTTTTTATAATGACTCAACCACTCCCAGTCTCTATTCAAGCCTAAGTTAATTGTATCCAATTTGCAAATTAATTCCAATTCAGCAGTCTCTCGTTGGAGTCTGTTTCTGAAGTTTTTCTGTTGTAATATCGCAACTTTCATGTCTGTAATCGCGTGACCAGAGAGATTGAAGTGTTCTCCGACTGGTTTATGAATGTTATAATTCTTGACATCTGATTTGTGTCCATTTATTCTTTTATGTAGAGACTGTCCAGTTTGACCAATGTACATGGCAGAGGGGCATTGCTGGCACATATCACATTGGTAGATGTGCAGGTGAACGAGCCTCTGATAGTGTGACTGATGTTATTAGGCCCTGTGATGGTGTCCCCTGAATAGATATGTGGGCACAGTTAGCAACGGGCTTTGTTGCAAGGATAGGTTCCTGGGTTAGTGGTTCTGTTGTGTGGTATGTGGTTGCTGGTGAGTATTCGCTTCAGGTTGAGGGGGGCTCTCTGTAGGCAAGGACTGGCCTGTCTCCCAAGATTTGTGAGAGTGATGGGTCATCCTTCAGGATAGGTTGTAGATCCTTGATAATGCGTTGGAGGGGTTTTAGTTGGGGGCTGAAGGTGACAGCTAGTGGCGTTCTGTTATTTTCTTTGTTAGGCCTGTCCTGTAGTAGGTGACTTCTGGGAACTCTTCTGGCTCTATCAATCTGTTTCTTCACTTCCGCAGGTAAGTATTGTAGTTGTAAGAATGCTTGATAGAGTTCTTGTAGGTATTTGTCTCTGTCTGAGGGGTTGGAGCAAATGCGGTTGTATCGTAGAGCTTGACTGCAGACAATGGATCGTGTGGTGTGGTCAGGGTGAAAGCTGGAGGCATGTAGGTAGGAATAGCGGTCAGTAGGTTTCCGGTATAGGGTGGTGTTTATGTGACCATCGCTTATTAGCACTGTAGTGTCCAGGAAGCGGATCTTTTGTGTGGACTAGTCCAGGCTGAGGTTGATGGTGGGATGGAAATTTTTGAAATCATGGTGGAATTCCTCAAGGGCTTCTTTTCCATGGGTCCAGATGATGACGATGTCATCAATATAGCGCAAGTAGAGTAGGGGCGTTAGGGGACGAGAGCTGAGGAAGCGTTGTTCTAAGTCAGCCATAAAAATGTTGGCATACTGCGGGGCCATGCGGGTACCCATAGCAGTGCCGCTGATTTGAAGGTATACATTGTCCCCAAATGTTAAATAGTTATGGGTGAGGACAAAGTCATAAAGTTCAGCCTCCAGGTTTGCCGTGACATTATCGGGGATAGTGTTCCTGATGGCTTGTAGTCCATCTTTGTGTGGAATGTTGATGTAGAGGGCTTCTACATCCATAGTGGCCAGGATCGTGTTTTCAGGAAGATCACTGATGGATTGTAGTTTCCTCAGGAAGTCAGTGGTGTCTCGAAGGTAGCTGGGAGTGCTGGTAGCGTAGGGCCTGAGGAGGGAGTCTACATAGCCAGACAATCCTGCTGTCAGGGTGCCAATGCCTGAGATGATGGGGCGCCCAGGATTTCCAGGTTTATCGATCTTGGGTAGTAGACAGAATATCCCAGGTCGGGGTTCTAGGGGTGTGTCTGTGCGGATTTGATCTTGTGCTTTTTCAGGGAGTTTCTTGAGCAAATGCTGTAGTTTCTTTTGGTAACCCTCAGTGGGATCAGAGGGTAATGGTTTGTAGAAAGTGGTGTTGGAGAGCTGCCGAGCAGCCTCTTGTTCATATTCCGACCTATTCATGATGACAACAGCACCTTCTTTGTCAGCCTTTTTGATTATGATGTCAGAGTTGTTTCTGAGGCTGTGGATAGCATTGTGTTCTGCACGGCTGAGGTTGTGGGGCAAGTGATGCTGTTTTTCCACAATTTCAGCTCGTGCACGTCGGCGGAAGCACTCTATGTAGAAGTCCAGTCTGCTGTCTCGACCTTCAGGAGGAGTCCACCTAGAATCCTTCTTTTTGTAGTGTTGGTAGGGAGGTCTCTGTGGATTAGTATGTTGTTCAGAGGTGTGTTGGAAATATTCCTTGAGTCGGAGACGTCAAAAATAGGATTCTAGGTCACCACAGAACTGTGTCATGTTCGTGGGGGTCACGCAATTACAGACATGAAGTTGCGATATTACAATAGAAAAACTTCAGAAACGGACTCCAACGAGAGACTGCTGAATTGGAATTAATTTGCAAATTGGATACAATTAACTTAGGCTTGAATAGAGATTGGGAGTGGTTGAATTATTATAAAAAGTAACCTGTTTCCCCTTGTTTATTCCTTCCCCCCCGTTCCTCAGACGTTCTTGTTAAACCCTGGATTTGTGCTGGAAATGGCCCACCTTGATTATCATACACATGGTAAGGAGAGTGATCACTTTAGATAAGCTAGTACCAGCAGGAGAGTGGGGTGGGGGGAGAGAAAACCTTTTGTAGTGATAAACACCCATTTTTTCATGGTCTGTGTGTATAATAACATCCTCACTTTTTTTTTTCCTCATGGTCTGTGTGTATAAAAATGTCCTCACTGTATTTTCCAGTTTATGCATCCGATGAAGTGAGCTGTAGCTCACGAAAGCTTATGCTCAAATAAATTGGTTAGTCTCTAAGGTGCCACAAGTACTCCTTTTCTTTTTGCGACTAGAGACTAAAACGGCTGTTACTCTGAAACCAGTGATTTTACTAAGTCACTAGAAAAAAAGACCCAGAAACTTGACATTTCTCAACCAATTTTCAGACCAACATGCATTACTGAAGAGAGAAGCAAGCTTCTCACTAGGCCACTAAGCTATAGGAGGTCTGAGACCCTAAGAACATAAGAATGGCCATACTGGGTCAGACCAACGGTCCATCTAGACCAGTAGCCTGTTTTCTGACCGTGGCCAATGCCAGGTGCTTCAGGAAATGAACAGAAGACTTAGTAGAAAAGATAAGGCGTCCTGTAGTGGGACAGTTTGGTTTGTGTTAGGTGATCAGGCAGTTCATGGATGCTCAGGGATACATATTGTCTTCTTTATTATTCCATTTACAAGTTCACAATAATAATTTTCCTTCTTGTAGTGTGGGGCTCAAAACTGGACACAGTACTCCAGATGAGGCCTCACCAATGTCGAATACAGGGGAACGATCACGTCCCTCAATCTGCTGGCAGTGCCCCTACTTATACATCCCAAAATGCCATTGGCCTTCTTGGCAACAAGGGCACACTGTTGACTCATATCCAGCTTCTCGTCCACTGTAACCCCTAGGTCCTTTTCTGCAGAACTGCTGCCAAGCCATTCGGTCCCTAGTCTGTAGAGGTGCACTGGGTTCTTCCGTCCTAAGTGCAGGACTCTGCACTTGTCCCTGTTGAACCTCATCAGATTTCTTTTGGCCCAATCCTCCAATTTGTCTAGGTCCCTCTGTACCCTATCCCTACCCTCCAGCGTATCTACCACTCCTCCCAGTTTAGTGTCATCTGCAGACTTGCTGAGGGCGCAATCCACACCATCCTCCAGATCATTAATGAAGATATTGAATAAAACCGGCCCCAGGACCGACCCTTTGGGCACTCTGCTTGATACAGGCTGCCAACTAGACATGGAGCCATTGATCACTACCCGTTGAGCCCGACAATCTAGCCAATTTTCTACCCACCTTATAGTGCATTCATCCAACCCATACTTCTTTAACTTGCTGACAAGAATACTGTGGGAGACAGTGTCAAAAGCTTTGCTAAAGTCAAGGAACACCACGTCCACCGCTTTCCCTTCATCCACAGAACCAGTTATCTCGTCATGGAAGGCAATTAGATTAGTCAGGCACGACTTGCCCTTGGTGAATCCATGCTGACTGTTCCTGATCACTTTCCTCTCCTCTAAGTGCTTCAGAATTGATTCCTTGAGGACCTGCTCCATGATTTTTCCAAGGACTGAGGTGAGGCTGACTGGCCTGTAGTTCCCAGGATCCTCCTTCTTCCCTTTTTTAAAGATGGGCACTACATTAGCCTTTTTCCAGTCATCCGGGACTTCCCCAGATCGCCATGAGTTTTCAAAGATAATGGCCAATGGCTCTGCAATCACATCCGCCAACTCCTTTAGCACTCTCGGATTCAACGCACCTAGCACCCATGGACTTGTGCTCGTCCAGCTTTTCTAAATAGTTCCGAACCACTTCTTTCTCCACAGAGGGCTGGTCATCTCCTCCCCATGCTGTGCTGCCCAGTGCAGTAGTCTGGGAGCTGACCTTGTTCGTGAAGACAGAGGCAAAAAAAGCATTGAGTACATTAGCTTTTTCCACATCCTCTGTCACTAGGTTGCCTCCCTCATTCAGTAAGGGGCCCACACTTTCCTTGACTTTCTTGTAGTTGCCAACATACCTGAAGAAACCCTTCTTGTTACTCTTAACATCTCTTGCTAGCTGCAACTCCAGGTGTGATTTGGCCTTCCTGATTTCACTCCTGCATCCCCGAGCAATATTTTTATACTCATCCCTGGTCATTTGTCCAATCTTCCACTTCTTGCAAGCTTCTTTTTTGTGTTTAAGATCAGCAAGGATTTCACTGTGAAGCCAAGCTGGCCGCCTGCCATATTTACTATTCTTTCTACACATTGGGATGGTTTGCCCCTGTAACCTCAATAAGGATTCTTTAAAATACAGCCAGCTCTCCTGGACTCCTTTCCCCCTCATGTTATTCTCCCGGGGGATCTTGCCCATCAGTTCTCTGCGGGAGTTAAAGTCTGCTTTTCTGAAGTCCAGGGTCCGTATTTTGCTTCTTTCCTTTCCTCCTTGTGTCAGGATCCTGAACTCGACCATCTCATGGTCACTGCCTCCCAGGTTCCCATCCACTTTTGCTTCCCCTACTAATTCTTCCCGGTTTGTGAGCAGCAGGTCAAGAAGAGCTCTGCCCCTAGTTGGTTCCTCCAGCACTTGCACCAAGAAATTGTCCCCTACCCTTTCCAAAAACTTCTCTGGATTGTCTTTGCACCGCTGTATTACACATAAACAGAGCAGCAGATATCAGGGTGATTGAAGTCTCCCATGAGAACCAGGGCCTGCGATCTAGTTACTTCTGCGAGTTGCCGGAAGAAAGTCTCATCCACCTCATCCCCCTGGTCTGGTGGTCTATAGCAGACTCGCACCACAACATCACGCTTGTTGCTCACACTTCTAAACTTAATCCAGAGACACTCAGGTTTTTCTGCAGTTTCATACCGGAGCTCTGAGCAGTCATACTGCTCCCTTACATACAGTGCTACTCCCCCACCTTTTCTGCCCTGCCTGCCTTCCTGAACAGCTTATATCCGTCCATGACAGTACTCCAGTCACATATCCAATCCCTGTGTCTGACACAAGGGTCTGTGAAGATAAGGGTGCATTGGGCAAGGTGTATGATTACCTCTTACATTAATCTGTGAGATGAAAGATAAAAGGCCCCTGCCTAGCTCCACATTCTTCTAGCATGTGTAATCATAGAATCATCGAATATCAGGGTTGGAAGAGACCTCAGGAGGTCATCTAGTCCAACCCCCTGCTCAAAGGAGGACCAGCACCCACTAAATCATGCCAGCCAGGGCTTTGTCAAGCCAGGCCTTAAAAACCTCTAAGGAAGGAGATTCCACCACCTCCCTAGGTAACGCATTCCAGTGCTTCACCACGCTCCTAGTGAAATAATGAAATAGCATGAATCCACCTCTTTCTTCCTCACTCTGTTTACAGGGGTTTAACTGAAGTTTCTCTCTTGCCAAACTGCAGCTTTTCTCCCAGCATCTGGCCAGGTGCCTACTTGTAACAGAGGATGCCTTTTAGTCTGCCAGTGGGAGTTAACCTATTTGAGGTGGGGCTAGAAACATAGAGATGACTTGTGGTTTGAGTCCTCTGCTACAGCTGGCCAAGCATGCATTAAAACAGCAAGCTAGTCTCTGAACCCAAGTTTACTCAGTTTTCTGGTCTTCCACAGAAGTACACTAACTATGAGGTGGTGGGGGCTAGTAACTTCTATTTGAAATACATTCCTGGGCCCTATGTTAGACAGACAGGTAAACAGCCGATTAACTCCTTTAGCAACAAAACAATACTAGGTTTGTGCAGTAGTGGTGTAATATACTGCAACTTACACGTGTCAGGAGAATGTCTGGGGCCATTGATATTCTGTGGGACTTTCAACAGGAGCCATCTCAAAGAGGACTAAAACAAGATTATTTTACACATAAACAGAGCATCTTTCTTTCTGAAAGATTTCAAAGTGCTTGAGAAATAGCCATCCAGTAGGCATAAGAACAGTCAATGCACCTTTGAGCCCCTGAACATTCCAAGCAAAACTGTTTTTCTGCCCTGTGCTCATTGGCTGTTTGCTCCAACCCTATCTCTCCCTCTCCCCTCCCCTCCCCTCCCCTCCAATCTCTTTACCACAAATTCACTCCACATTTTCCCCCTCCCATCACCCTCCCCTTCAGCTGATCCCCTCCTAAGTAAACCCACACACTCCTTCAAAAAAGAAAACAAAATTGTGGATGTAACATGGCATTTGCCACTACCTCATGTTCACTCTGTTTGTGTGTTCTACCCCTTCCTGCACCCTGTATCTGTCCTGTCTATTTAGACAATATTGTCTCTTTGTACTCTACCTCCTGTTTGTAGCCATCTGTTGCTGTTTCTTGTTTTATACTTAGATTGTAAGCTCTCTGGAGCAGGGACTGTATTTTTTTCCCTGTGTTTGTACAGCACCTAGCACAACGTGGCCCTGGTCCACAACTGGGGCTCCTAGGTACTACAATGACAAAAATAATAATAAAAAATGCAATCACCTCAGGGGTGAAGGAAAGGCAACACAAAGCATGGTACATAACAGAAAAGGTTGGGGATATTAGGGTATCATGGATCCACAGAATCTATGCTATGCCCCAGCTTTTAAACAGACCTTTGGAGGAAAAGTGTGCCAGATCCCCAAGGGGGTCCCACTTGTTCTTAAGCATAGGTCAAGGGGTTTGCAACACCTCTGCAACTGAGCCTCTTGGTGCTAGCACTCCTGTTTCACACCCATGAGCTCTGCCCAGCAAGTCCAACTGAGATAGTCTCTGACCAAGACTCTTTTCACTCTTCAGGGAACAATACATCTCAGCAAGTATTGGCAGACACCAGGTAGCCTTTTTAAAACAGAGTAGAATTTATTAGTCAACTGGCATTTATTAGCATAGTGCAATAAAGGTTAAGACATAGTCCATTCTGACCAAGCCAGTATTCCACCTGGCCAAGCTACCATGGAATCCATTTTTGGCCCTTTCCATCTTTGTCAGTCCCACCTGAGAACTGCTGTCTCTTTCCAAAAGCCAACTCTAATCCCAGCCACCTGACACATTTCAGTCCATTGTCCAACACCTGCAGAACCATGCTGAATTCACATATTCCACCTGGCAGAGATTTCCGTGGGTACGTATCAGTTGTTCACTCGTTGGGTTTCCCATTGTCTTTGCGGTCCCTCCACTAATATGGGTCTATTTTAGCCAGTTTTTTAACAATCCATTCATTCCACTCTACACACTTACATAACACAACACCTCATGTTTCCTGCTCTTCCTCACGAGCAGCTTTTTAACGCTTCTGAACTCACTGAGTAGCAATGAGAAGTACAGAGGGAATCCAAGGCACATAACTCAGCTGCCTGTTTTCCCACCATATCCCTCCTTCCTTCAGAAATAAAGTGATTCTGAAATTATTTTAATTCTCTTTGTGCTGTATCATCTCACAGACCAGTCAACCCCAGACGTACCAAGTGGCCCAGTGAACTCTTCCCTCGAGATTACCAGGCACTTACCAGTGTGAAAGAAACAGAGACGACAAAATATGCCCTGGAAGTTCATGATGAGAGCTGCGTGTTCTCTGCTCCGTCTCCAGCCTTCAGAATTCCAGCAATCAATGCTTTTATAGTTTATTCTGGTCAGTCTGCTCCTCTTCAGACCACTCCCTGTTGGAAATCAAGTCCCTCACACTGCATAACAATTACTCTTTGATACTCCAGCACATTCTAAAGGGAGAGGGAAAAAACTGCATCCGTTTACATTAACTTCAGTCTTGAAAAGGAAATGCAAACTACAAATGCAAAATTCCTGGGACACTGAAACAAATTATGACTTAAGCACCACCTGCTGGGTCAAATGGGTAATAACATGTCGATTATGGGTGTAGAGTGAGATTGTGAAATAAAGTGTCCAGGAATTTTTTTGTTTTGTTTTGAGCAGGTGCTATCAAGCTTTTTCCACATGGAGATCAGGAAGTGCACATTGATGCTGTTATGCCTTTCACTCAATATCACAGGCATAGTGGGCATGATTCACAAAATAACTTATGCCTACCTGCCACTTCAGGTGCCTAAATCCCAGAAGCATGTCCCACTGGGATTCACAAAAACCCCACTAAGCTGCCGCCAAAAGCTCTAGCTACTTAACCTCCCTTGAGGCCTAAGTTTTTGCTTCTGTGCATGTGCACTGCTGCTCCCATCTAGGCATCCAGATGTCTAAGCCCCATTGTGATGCACAAACCCGAAGACTGCCATTCCTCTATCGCATCTATGGGGTCTGATCGGATATGTATGTGCAGAGCTTGACTACTGGATTAGGCCCTATATGAGTGTACACACAAAACAGCTGGGGCAGGGGCTCAGAGGGAGAATGACCTCCCTCATAAGTTTTACCCCGCGTGGCTGGGGTACTCACCTGGGAGACCCCCCCCAGTTTAAGTCCCCCCTCCAGCAGAAAGGGAGCAGGTATTTGAACAGGGACCTACTATCCCTTAGGAGGCCACTCTAACCACTGGGCTATGGGATATTCTGAGGTGGTAGGGAATCATAGAATCATAGAATATCAGAGTTGGAAGGGACCTCAGGAGATCATCTAGTCCAACCCCCTGCTCAAAGCAGGCACAATCCCCAATTTTTTTTTTTTTTGCTCCAGATCCCTAAACGGCCCCCTCAAGGATTGAACTCACAACCGTGGGTTTAGCAGGCCAATGCTCAAACCACTGAGCTATCCCCTCTCACTTCCTCAGTATCTCCTGTTGAAGCAGTTCCACTGTGGCATTAAATAATTAGAGAGCCATTGGGCCAGAATAACTCTGTGAAGTGTGGTTAGAGAACTTAGCTATGTGGTGGGAGACCAAGGATCCAGGCCCCGCTTCCCGCGTTCTCATGACTCTTTAAATTATTTATCAGCAGTGGAACAGCTTCAACAGGAGAGATTGAGGGAGCCCCACATCAGCATAGCCTATAGCTCAGTGATTAGTGTATGCTCCTGAGATGTGGCAAATCCTTGTTCAACTCCTTTCTTCCCTCTTCTAGTAAGATGAGGGCCTGAAACATAAGCCTTGTATCAGAGGCCCGGTATGAGGCCAGAACTACAGTAATGGTCAAGACTTTGCTAACCTAAAGGAAATTTAAGCTGTGAGCCAGAGGCAGGCCTTGCTCACAGAAGTTGGGAAGAAGAAGGCTGCTAATTAGACATATACACATGCCTAAAGGTATCGAGTTCTAGTAAGATGAACATGTGCCAGGATGGCACCAGAACATCCCAGTACAAACACATTCCACAGAGATAATAAGGAACATGCTGACCCATCCTAATGACAGGGACAAAAGGATAATATGATGGATAGAGTTGTTTGTTCAAACCAACATGTACCAGGAGAGAGACAGCATCCTAACACGTACAGGGGTTGTACTTTAATGGGTCAGGAGTGATGTGTAACTTGTTTGTACCTGTGTATAAAAATGCATCCCTGAGTGGATATCTTTGTCTGGTCTAGGGGGCAGTGGTAAGACCCACCACTGACTGAGCCGGTCCATTGTCAGGGGGCACATATTTGTAGTATGTCCTGTACAATCTGCGGGAAACTATTACTCTGCTTCATTTGGCAACAAACCTGTCCAGGTGCCTTCATACCTTATTAGAGTCTGTGGTCCTTGGGGTTTCTCTCAGGGTCTGCTGTGTCAGATATCTGCGCAGAGCTGGGGCAGCACACGGAGGGAACACATGCACGCATCCGACTGTTATCAACATTGGACAGAGCAGAGCACCACACTGGTGACGTCTGACAACACTGGTGACCCCGACCGCTGATCTAGTAAGTAAGCGAGCTGTCCGCTGTAGGGAATCCCCTTATCCCCTCCCATCAAACCTCCACAGAGTTTGATAACTCATGGCCCACTGGGTTGCTAGCAAAAGAGGTCCATGTGAATTAAAAAAAATATAGTGGGGAAGAAACATGTAATGAAATTTGTAAGGCTAGGGCAGAAACTGTAGCCTTGGAATGTAGAATACTGCAAACTATAACCCATGGCTGTTAAATGGTTAAGACAAAATGCCACAAAATTGACAGGGCAAGTAACAGAAACAAAGAAAGTGTTAAAAGAATCAGAAGATGCTACAAAGCCCTGGACTATTTTCACTCTCCTTGTGGGGTAGTAAGCAGTCCACAGACAGCAAGCACAGGAACATAATAAAACATTGAAAACAGCTGTAAGAAACCTGCAAAAAAGAGATGTGCTGTCCCCGGTTATAAATATTTGTGGTCAACAACAGGCTTCAGGTAGCTACCCTGAGCCTGAAGAATAGGCATAGAAATGGAAAAAGGTGGCCCTAGCAAAATTAAAAGATGAAACGGTGTCCACTGCATTGCAACCACCACTGTATGATAAAAGCCAGGTTCTGGTAAAACCTAAACCTAGATTGGTGCCTGTCAGAACGGGACAAGTAAGTGCACAAGAGGGGAAAGTAGCAAACAATACTGTCACTGAATTGGTAAATCAGATGAAGTTAAAAATGGAATGGTTCACAGAGCACATTAGGAGACAGGAGCTGGGATTCAATGGCAGGGTAGTAAATAAAAAAGAATTTCAAAGTGAAAAACCAAGATTAAGCAGGTTCCCTCCTATAATTAATATATTAACACATGGAGCTGCCCAAAAAACAGTTAACTGCAGCAAAAAAGGGCACTCCTGCAATCCATTTGGCATGCACACAAAAGCAACAGACACTGGGGGAACAAATTCAGGTTTTACAAGAGCAGGTAAACCCCCTCTCTCCTCTCAAAGCCAGGAGAAAAAACAGGGGCGTGGTTCTCAACTGCTTTGACCCACGGAACCACACTCGCACTCATATCTAAAAATATAACCTTCTTTCTTAAATATTTTTACATACTGCTTAAGTTTTTTCCTTTATATGCTTTCTCAGTTTGCTAAAGTCGCTGCTGCTGCTGTCTGTACTTTCAAATACCTTGATAGAGTTAATCTCTCTTGGCTCAGGTCTCGCTACCTTCCTAGGTTGCTCTTCACCCTCCCCCCTCACTTCCGCTCTCTCTCTGTTTTAGAAGTTAAAAGTTATAGTTTTTACAGAAACCTCCAAAAGATAAAGGAATTGAAAACAGAACAACAACAACAACAGAGAAAACAAGGTAAAAACTTTTACTTTAAATAAATCCAGTAGATTATTTTAACCCTTCAGGAATGCAACAGCTGGAATTACTCCTAACTTTTTTGAAAATATGGTTGCCAAGCAACAGAAATGCAGACTCTGCTTCTAATCCTAACCACTTGTTAGGATATAGATATTCAGGCCTGTCTGCAAAGGCCTATGCTCTAAGAATTTAGGTGTAGTCTTATCACTTGGCTAATCAGAGGTATAAAAAAGAAAGAATCAAAATCACTGTCTGCCAGTGTAAGGTCCTTCTCTTACTGTGACAGTCTGAGGCCCTGTTCTTAGGCTAAGGCCTTTGGCTAAGCAGCAGAGGCAACCATAAACTGGGAAGCGACCCGTCACATCTTCACATTGCAAACTAGTCACATTGAAAGAAGGTGCTATTTGGCTGTTAGGAATACAATCCTGTCCTGATAATGCCTATCACCTCCAGAGAAAGGGAAGTGCATAGAAGATGTAAAAGGAAATTTAGGTTGATAGTTTTTTCTGTCTGGTAAGAACTCACTTATCAATAGACACAGCTGGGAAACCCTTATGTCTTTATAGATGTAGTTGTGAAATCCTCACTTCTGTATTGTTTTGTCATTATAGTTCCCACTTTGCTATTGTTTATCAGCATGGTCTCTGTCTGGTTCTGTGATTGTTTCTGTCTGCTGTATAATTAATTTTGCTGGGTGTAAACTAATTAAGGTGGTGGGATATAATTGGTTAGCTAATCATGTTACAATATGTTAGGATTGGTTAGTTAAATTTCAGTAGAATGATTGGTTAAGGTATAGCTAGGAATATTAGCAAAAAGAAAAGGAGTACTTGTGGCATCTTAGAGACTAACCAATTTATTTGAGCATAAGCTTTCGTGAGCTACAGCTCACTTCATCGGATGCATACTGTGGAAAATACAGAAGATGTTTTTATACACACAGACCATGAAAAAATGGGTGTTTATCACTACAAAAGGTTTTCTCTCCCCCCCTCCCCCTACTCTCCTGCTGGTAATAGCTTATCTAAAGTGATCACTCTCCTTACAATAAGAAAAGGAGTACTTGTGGCACCATAGAGACTAACCAATTTATTTGAGCATAAGCTGTAGCTCACGAAAGCTTATGCTCAAATAAACTGGTTAGTCTCTAAGGTGCCACAAGTACTCCTTTTCTTTTTGCGAATACAGACTTACACGGCTGTTACTCTGAAACCTCTCCTTACAATGCGTATGATAATCAAGGTGGGCCATTTCCAGCACAAATCCAGGTTTTCTCCCCCCCAACAAACCCACTCTAACTAACTAACACGGCTGTTACTCTGAAACCTAAGAATATCACTATATAAATTAGGGGCAAACAGGAAGTAAGTTGAAAAGGAGTACTTGTGGCACCTTAGAGACTAACCAATTTATTTGAGCATGAGCTTTCGTGAGCTACAGCTCACTTCATCAGATGTTATACCGTGGAAACTGCAGCAGACTTTATATACACACAGAGAATATGAAACAATACCTCCTCCCACCCCACTGTCCTGCTGGTAATAGCTTATCTAAAGTGATCAACAGGTGGGCCATTTCCAGCACAAATCCAGGTTTTCTCACCCTCCACCCCCCCACACAAATTCACTCTCCTGCTGGTGCTAGCCCATCCAAAG